CCCCCTCCCTGCCGCACTCACTAAAGCTCCGCACTTACCTTGTCAAAATGTGCCCGAAGAGACATCAGCATTTTTGAGTAAGAGTGGTTATTTTTATCTGATAGATGCAGCCCTTTTTTCGGTTTAGGTAAAATCCCTTCCCTATTCTTTGATTTTGCAGATTTTAACCACCTTGTGGCTTTATCGCACGCTTCCAGCAATTGGTGAGCGTGGGGATGGAGGTCTTCGTCGAAGAATTTCTTTAAAATTGTGCGATATTTTACGCTGAGGCCTGTCCTCAAGCAAATATTCAGAGCATGGTTCATGCAATACAGTCGTTGGAAGTTCTCTAAGGCCTTAACAACATTACTTCCATTGTCGGACACAAAAGTAGTTAGTTCAACTTCTTCTCTCGTTATTCCGACATCTTCGAGAGCCTTTAAAAGTACATTTTCAATAGAGTTCCCATTTTCAATCTGCTCATCGAAAGGTACTGTTAGAAGATACTCCACGACAAGTTTGAAGGTTTTCTTTTAGATGTAGTGGCCTGTCATTGTTAAATAATGCTGCTTGGTGTCATTTCGGTTCAAAGGTCTATAGTGGCGGCGCAGCCAACGTCAGCAAATGATCCCTTAATCTCCGGAAGGATCTCATCACGCATTTTTTTTTGTCTGCTTGTTTAGGTCAATAGAAATAGTGTGTGCACTGGGCAGGACGTCATTTATGTCGACTGCGCCATCGTGGTGACCGACGTCGACCAAAGTCTGAATGAGCCTTTTCATGCCCGGACCCGTAACACTCTCGAAAGACATCATTCCCTCTGCACAGCAACGAAGGATGGGACGCACGGAGCGACCCGCCAGTCAGCGCCCGGCGGGTGCATGCCGGGGCACCAAAGCGAGCAGGCGGGTCAGCAAGCCCGAAACCGGCCCGCATGGCTCGCACAGCTCGCCGGGTTCGGACGGCTCGGCCACGCGGACGAAGCCTCGTCTGCTCCCTCCACTCGCTACTTGCCGCCTGCGGCAGGCTAGCGGCGGGGAGGCGAGCCCGGCAGCCCGTGCGTTGACGATCTCTGCTGTGGCGCCGCGGACAGCGCGGCGTTGAGGCGGATGGATGTGACGGATCAAGCTCAAACTTTACGCGGCCATACAATTGACCTTCCCTTATCCGATGCTACTTTCGGATTTTAAATGGGTGGAATCATTTAGAAGAAAATGAGCCACACATTTGGCCGTGCAGGCCCTTGCCCGCCCGTCGTTTCCTCTCCATCCCCCTATACTCCATATCTATAGATAGCAATTGGGAAAGGTTTATAGGGGTGTGCCTAAAAAGCAAGACTGGAGAATTTGGTTTTAAGAAATGAGTCAGTTTATATATTATAAAAAACATGCAGAATTCAGTATTTCAACCCTTGCAACTCGAAAATTATAGTGGTCATAGCAATCAGGACACAGCAATCCATCCTATAAGTGGAGTCTTAGAAACAAAAAGTGCCAATAAACTTTTAAATGGTCGTCGGGAAAGTTGCAGAATATAACGGAAAGCATGAAAAAATTGCGCGCGAGCTTTACATGTTCCTCTATTATATAACAATAGATTAACACTAGAACAAGCTCATTCAAAGAAGGTGAAATTGGAAATTGAAATTCTATTAAAATCTTACTGATATTCAAGAAATGGATTTGAATGCGAACGAATGCCATTTTATTAAGAAGGACACAATATAGGAAAGTGAAAAAATCCTGATGTCTGACCGACAAGGTTTTCAACTAACATGGGTTGAAAGTATGGCACATTTTATCTTACTGTACCCCTTCAGTTAAAATAGCGAGCCTGTCAATCCACCGAACGCAGCGACCATTGCTAATTAAAAGGTCGGATCTGGGAGAGCAGGCTTAGGGGCAAGCCAAGACGTGGGGCAGAATAACACCGGGTCGGAGCACGGCTACTCGCAGGTAGTCGCCGTAGCCGCGTGCCCGAAGGCGTCGAATTCCAACCCAGAGGTTCGGGGTTCAACTCCCGGATAGATAAGGTACAACTTTAAAGTTAACTGCCTAGCATGTGTGGGCAACATCTAAAATGTGACAATCAGCGGGAAAAACATATTTTTCTTTCATATCGGAGTATGAACATCAACGTATTTTCTTCTGTATCGATGGATACACATTTCTGTATCCATATTGCAAAATTTGTTTTTGAATCCGAAAGAATACATTTTTTTGTATCACGGATGCTGAAAAAACTGCATATTCAAATTACAGATTTTTGTATTAATTTTTTTTAGAGTGTATACATCTCACAAAATCGCCCAAAAAAGCACTTGCGACCTTATGTCCCGACCTCAGCGAGATCCGACCTTTTAATTTTCAAGGATCGCCAGTTGCTAGCTTCAATTCCCTCAACCGGCTGCAACTATGTTTGGCAGGGGCCGGGCTTTCTTTGCATGGCGGTGGCGTTTGGTAGGGCCTAGCCGAGGTGTTACCCCACTTGCGTGAACATGGTGTACCAATAGAATTCCGCACCTCGCCCTGCTGGATGGTAGCGGATATCCAAGGTATGAATTTTGTCACGTTAGTAAAGAAGGAGTATGTTGTCTCCTGCGAGCTTCCGACCGACACAATTCCACGAAGAAACCACACTCGGTCTTTATTTGGGAAAGCGATGCCACCTCCACTGTCACCCTTTGCAACCGTCGACCCTGTAGATCAAATGTAAAATTATTTTTGGAAGTCATCCTCTTGCAATAGTTTTACTAACAGATGCGTATATAAAGGTAGAAGCAAGAAACTGTGCGAGGCGAAGAAGGTATAAGGACACGTTCGGATTCGACCGAAATCGACCAAACACGAAGTTCTTCGTGATCGCAAATACACGAACACGAGCTGCCAGTATTGAATATGTACGAGTACGACTAGAAAAAAATTAAATACAAACTAAAGGTCATAAGTGAAAAGCACGTAAATAAATAAGTATACTTTTAAACATAACACGCAGAAAGAAAGTTCGTGGCTCTGCTATGTTTTTAGCACCGGGGCTAAAAACTTAACTGAATGGACTGGGCTAATTTATTTAGCAACAGGGCTAATTTTTTAGCCATCTAGTAAACCACAACGATTAGTGGTCGAATCGACTTCGAATCGACGTCGATTAAGCAGGTCGAAATATTGTCGATTCCAAATGTCGAATCGACGGGATTTTGTCCCGCAAATCGGCGTTTTTTCGACATCGACTATTTCGATACTTTATCGAAAAGGGACTAAAGGGACGGATTTCAATGGTTGAGCTAAGTCCAATAGCGACTGTTGGTGTCCGTAGGCACCCGCGTCGCCATCACATTCAAAAATTACTGCAGGAGATGAAGTCCGTGACAGACACCTCCCGCGCTTGAACGCACTGTAAAAAATATTCTGAAATTTCAGAGCAAAATATTTTTTAAATTTAATAACATTATCAGTTGTTCTTAAACGTAATAACAGATTATGATATTTAAGAAGTTTTCTTAATATTGCAAACAAGGTTATGCGAATTCTGATGAAATTCTCAATTGTACTAATTCAATTTCATAACAAGTTTATTAAATTTAAAAGTTTTCCCTAGTTTTGATAAAATTGTGTTGAAAAGTCACAACCATTCTTACTTTTAATACCAGCATTCAGAACACTTCTTAAAAGTCATGTAGCTTTTGACCACTGGACATGGAATTTTGGCGTTCAATTTAGTATTGGGTGAACAACATATCGAATTTAGATAGGCGTAATGTAGCTATGCCACTGCCATATGTCAAAAAAGCAAGTTAACAAACATACGCCGTCCGACCAGGCACATAGCTACTCTGGGAATGCCCCCGGACGGAGCGCCGCATAAGGTCGGGTACGAGCGCTCCCCTCACAGGTATGTCCCGACAGCCACGCGGTCTAAGGCGTCAGGATCCGAACCGAGAGGTCCGAGGTTCGAATCCACCCAGGTAAGGTAAGGTAAACATCTTTAATATGTGGGAAGTTGGGTGTAACCATCTGCCCCTAGGGGAATAAACTAAATATGTTCCAGATTTGCGTTAGGTTGGAAAAGAAAAGCATTTTTGGCGTTTCATAACACGTTCTTAATTTTCAAAACTTGTTTTGAATTCTAAGAAACTTTTTGTTCTTAAATTTAAGAGCAAATTTGTTTTGTAAACTGCTTCAAAACATGTGTTATTAAAATTAAGATGGATTTTTTTACAGTGACGAACACGTCTCTAGACTAGTTGTTTTGGCGTTGCGGGTCACCAGCGAGAGCTAACTGTACAGTCAGGGGAAGACCCTGTCTCGAATCGACGTCGAATCGACATCGATCATGTACAATACGAAATTTCTTGCAATTTAGTACCAGGAACCGTTCTGAAACACTTTAAGGCCCATTAGCTGAGTTAGGCCGTGTCATAGGGCACTTCTCGAGTAACATCGAAATTTCGTCGACAACTTCGTCTCAGGACCAACGATAACTTTTCGAGCAGTCGACGTCGATTCGAGGTCGATTCGAACACTCATTTCTCACTGGGTCGGCTTTTCTTGTTTATGTTCTGAAGTTTTCATATAAATGTGTCTCATGGTACACCGGAAGAGAAAAGAGAAAACTGTGATCTCGTCATGGATAGAGTAAGAGACGCTGATTTCGGATCAGGCAGGGTCTTTGATGCCAGGGAAGTGGTTGAAAGACCGCAGCCCGAGCCATCAATGTCTAGACTAACCGTCTTATCATGCCATATCAGCGGAGGGTAGTTCCGTGACAACACGGCCGCGATGCCTCATTCGAAAGAAAAAAAAAACTTTTTGTACGTTTCTATCACCACGGGAGCCCTAAAGGTGAACCCATGCCTAGCTACTGATAAGGGAAGATTCACGGAAAATTCTAGCAAAAACTGAGGGAGGACTCCTACGGGAAAACGGCCCTTTTGTGTTAAACCACGGAGGGTCAGTCCCCGCACAAACAACGTAGGGACATTGTGCGAAAAACAGCTCCGCTTCCTTTTTTTATTGAAACAATATCAGTATTATACGACACACAAATAGTTGGGTGCATATCCTACATAGGTGTATGGGGAAATTCATATACCTGTATGGGAAGAATACTATCAAGCATGGGCATACTGCCATACCTTTGGAAAATTCCCATACATGCATCTTGAAAAGCGTCAGAGACATTTATAGGAAATGTATCACATAATTTTTGGCTGAGCGATTAGCGAAGCCCATTACTCCACTGACCGGAAAAGTTTCATTCTGTTTGTTTGTCTGTCTGTCTGTCTGTCTGTCCGTCTGTCCGCACGATAACTCGAGAAAGGATGGAGATAGCGACCTGGGATTTTCAGGGTCGTTTTGTATCATAAAAAGACAGATCGAGTTCGAAGATGAGCACTCTGGCTCAAAAATTGACTTTTTACAAAATCAATAACCGCAGGTAACAAAATATTATTTTTTTCAAATATTTTT